CCCCCCCCCCCCCCCCCCACAATGTTGATAGCTTCGCGACGTCCCTGCCAATGCAGACCATTAAAAAAAAGCGGCAATTTTTCAAAATAAACTAACCATTTACAAAGCAAATTTACCATGATTCGGGTTATCGTTCCATGTTCGCGCACCAATAATGACTAATTCATGTTCTAACATCCGGGAGTTTTCCAAACTGCATATAATTACAACGGAATAAATTATTTCCACCATGGCGGATTTCTGTGTGCTTGGAATGAAACTGCTGTATCACATTTACACAAATATTTTATAGATTTCGAAAGCAAGTAACCTACAAAACAACAAAACGTGCCACAGAAAGATTGTACTATTTTTAAAGCTGGGACATTTTTTCTATTTCTTGCTGGCGTGATAAAAATCGTACAAGTTTTATATCTGGACATCTTTAGTTCATGAGTGTATTTGGGCTTCCGCTTTGAGGGTTGACCCTCGATCATTGACCGACTTTTTCTTGTTTGCATTGGATATCAGTCTGAAACAAGACAGGTGATACACGATGAGTGCCGGACGAAGAAGAAGCGGGAACAACACAGCTGGCACTTCCACAGAAGACCAAGCTTTGAACCAGATTGCTTCAGAGGTACTGTGTTATGATATGCTTTGAATACTTTGCCGAGTACTTTACAAAATTTTGGCTTTCTGTGTGCAAACAATAAACCCTATGTACAAGCATGTGTTGTGTGAAAGACAGTCAATAATTAAGACCTCTAGAAATGGACATTTTTCTGTTTTAAGAAGATGCCAGCTTTATAGTCTCGCTCGTGTTTACCGCAAAAGAATTCGGGAACAATTTCTCAAACATGCGATTTGCGAGTATTTTGCTGTCATGGTACGATCTTGACAGCTCAAATTAGTACGTCTGTGATTCTATTTTTATAGTACGGTTCACGGTTGAAGTTACACAAGCCGTTCTCTCGTATTTAAACAGTGATATTAGCCTGTTCTATGCCTATAACATAATACACTTTATATGGCCCCATTCTTTTTCCGGCAAAAAGTTCGTCTCGTTCTAATTTTTATTTCATTCTCTTATGACTAATATCGGTCCTGAACTATAGGAAACAACTCTCAACAAAACGTATTTTGTTTGCCAAATGTGAAACTGCTTTCTCCTTAGGGAATTTGATAGCGTATTGTACTAATTTGGTATTAACGAAGTACCCTTTAGGCTACTTGAGCAATGCGAGTTAGTGTCAACAAGTCGCGAATTATGTTGTTTGCTAGTCAAAACTATAATAAAGGTCTTTTATGTTACCCACTTCTGTTGGATAGTGAAGTGTAAAAATATAGAAGTATTAGAATTATAGTAAATATTAAGGCATTAGCAGGCATTTATGGCCAAGTTACTATAATTGTGAATTGTACATTTTTTATAAACTTCATTGTTTTCATTTTTGTGTACTGTCATTCCCAGTGGGAAACCAACTCTTCATTGTTTACATTTCTTGTCAAGCTGTCTCAATGCATAACCCCAGATTAATTGGGATTCTAAAATTTATGACATGATAATTTTTATAATTCTTGCATACTGTATTTGAGTAATTTCTATTGGAGTCAGTTATGTTAGGTCACATCTCATTCCATTTAACATATTAACCCATTGAGTTGGCAGCACTCTCCCCTTGAGGACAAAGTAAACAAAGTAAAATAATAAAGTGCATCAGGGTGCATTGCCACTTAAAGGGTTAATAAATGTAACATGAACATGCATCAAGGTCCATCATTTCTGTGAACACTATTACATGGTAGGATTTAATATTTGGGAGTGTTTCTAAATATCAGGATGTGTACCTGCCAATTACCAAGAATGGGCAAATGCAAGCTTCCAGTTATACTTGCCAATAATACGCCTGTGGTTGTTCGATGTCATATGACCAAACACAAGACCAACATATGTTCATACTGACATTACAATGAATTATTATTTTATAAACCCACACAGTTTATATAACCTAACAGGACCATGCAACACAGCTTATTTTCTTTTATTGTACCGCAAATATATTTCATAAAACCAAAAATAAAACAGATTCAATCTGTAATTTCAAAAATTGTGCATAACAACAGGTTTTTAGCTATATTTTGCTTACTGTTGGTCTGTGTGTGTTCTAGGTAAAATAGTGCATGCAAAGGGAACACCACATGTGCTTCATTTCCAACTACACTTGAATGCAGTACAGTAGGCTATTTTAGAATGAATTTTGTACTTGTGTGTTACATAGCAACGAATTACATGTTACACAAACTAGCATGATTTGATAAAGAAGAAACATTAAAAACTTAAAATATATGAACATCTGGACATTTGCTGCATAAAACCAAAAAATATGACATATGTCAAACTGTATTAATATGTCAAACTGTATTTAAAATCAAGCAATGCTTTTAATTAATTACTTCTACAAACAGTATTACATTATATACCGTACTAGGAGAATTTAACTATAATTACAACATATAACAGTTATGTACATATTATATAACAAAATTTACTGTTACATAAAAATAACTAATTTAAAAAACAACCACAACAATAATGACAACAACTGCAACAATAAATAAATAATACTAATTACAGAAATAAGTTAAACTGCGAGTGACTTACTGTGATTTTCACTCGTCTTTTCACTTTACACTTGTCATAACCGCTAATTATTCACTCACAGTTAGTAATCGACAGAACCTCAAACAGAAGTGATAAGCCAAGAACTGATGACATCTGAAGAAACTAGCGATGGATTTTTTTCTTTTGCGTTTCTACTTTTCTCACCTTGTTGTTTTTTTGCCTTTGGAGTTCTGTTTATTCCTTTGCAACATGTAGTATTTTATCACAGTGGATTTGATTTCGAATTATATTGGTTTTATTACTGTTTATCGTCTTTGTAAGCAATATACTTGAGTCAAACGTCAGTCTAGAATTTTACAAACAGCAAGATTTGAACTACGTATACTCAAACACTTGATATAAATTAGGGAATGAAAACAGATTTAGATGAGTTTGCATTGATGTTGTTATTCACACTAGATGGGCCCAACAAAAAGTTTCAGAAAATCATCTTCTCTGAAAAGTTGTGTTGAGCGGTGCACACTGTCCAGTTCAACATTAACGTAAACTCATCTAATCCAATCTGTGTTTTGGCCATAATTTGTGGACAGACATGAAAAATTTGATGTTTATACATGAAGAGGTACCTGGATCCTCCACTCAATGTAGATACGGTTTGGATGAATCGCTAAGAACAACCACAAGTGCTTCATAATACAATTTATAATCCTTCTATTATAATTCTGTTGATGAGAATTTAAAGTCTGGCTCAATTGCATTATTCAAATCTAAAATGAAACAAAGCTTTGTAGAACACTATTGATGTTTATATCTTGCTCTTGAAATTGATAAAATTGTTTTACGTACTATTGCATGATAATCTACAACTTATGTATTGTTTTGTGACCGTGTATAATTATTTATTCTTTAATTAACAATTTCACTCAAAGGCATTTTTAACCCTCTACGGTTATTTCTGCATGGTGGCCAGAAACCCTACAAAATTTAAATTTAATATGTAAATAGATTTTTAAAAAAAGGGATAAATAAATAGTTCTTCTTCTTGAATCTGCATGACAAACCTGAAAAATACAGAGCAATGCATTATGGTACTTCTGTCAATATTCTGTCAAATTGTGCGGGAAACATGCAGAGTAAGTGTTCAGTAATTGTTATTCACCTCGTCAATTTCAAATATTGTGTATTATGGTAATCCATTCGACATGCTCAGCTTTAAATATCATAACCTCTATCCAGAATAAAAGTTCAATATCGAGATACCACAAATCTAGAGTCCTTGAATGCATGTTGCCTTCATGTTATGAGCTTAATATTATCAGAACATTTTGTCCCCTTCACCCTAAAATCTTGCTCAATCGCCACCGATATCACAGCTGCAGGTAATAATGCTGAAAATTTTAATCTAAGGGCTCTTGACCTAAAAAAAGACATGTCGCTTTCCAACCTCGTTCCCAGGCTCTTGATCGCTTTCATGTCATTAACAAACATGTTTAGCACGAGTATTGATTTGTTGCTTAGAAACTTTGCGAGTTCGCAAGAAAATACTCAAACACTAATAAATTTTCAGATACACATAATTTTACTTAACAATGAAGTTGCTTGTGTGATGTTACTCTGAGTGTATATTCACACCGGGCAGGCTTGAAAAATCTGCCTGGCCACGGTGGGATTCGAACCTACGACCTTTGGACAGTGAGCTCTATATATATCTGGAGTAGGAACTTGGTTGCTCAAAGTGAAGCCAGTTTCGTGTTAACCGCGCATACAAAAACAATAGAAAGGGACTGGAACTGACGTCCAACAGCTCCTTCAATTTCCGCCATCTTGGCAAGGAGTGTGTTGAAATTTCGTATTTTGACTTCGATTTAAAGAATAATATTGTGATTTTATGAACTGAAAATTTGATTAGTGATACGGTCCATTAGAAAAAACTGGAATTAGCTTGGGAAAATGGTATAAAAACTGTTTACGACCTTCAGAGCTATTGGACGTCAATGGCCGCCATCTTGGCTTCACTTTTCTCATTGACCGAATGACTGAAGTTCTTACTCCAGATATATATGGAGCTCACTGCCTTTGGAATACTTGCCCAATGCTCTGCCAACTGAGCTACGCGGTCAGGTCGGTTCGAGTATGCGATATTTCGGAACTGAGTCTAGTTCCTTCGATATCAGTGTAATCTAATAATCATGAAATTTGCTGTGTTGGTGTAATGTATTCAGGTGAATAAGATGCTTGTGATGTTACTCTGAGTGTATATTCACATCGGGCAGGCTTGGAAAATCTGCCTGGCCACGGTGGGTAGGTCCAAAGGTCGTAGGTTCGAATCCCACTGCGTGGCCAGGCAGATTTTTCAAGCCTGCCCGGTGTGAATATACACTCAGAGTAACATCACACAAGCATCTTATTCACCTGAGTACATTAAACCAACACAGCAAATATCATTATTATTAGATTTCACTTAAATCGAAGGAACTAGACTCAGTTCCGAAATATCGCATACTCGAACCGACCTGACCGCGTAGCTCAGTTGGCAGCCCAATTGGGCTAGTATTCCAAAGGTCGTAGGTTCGAATCCCACCGTGGCCAGGCAGATTTTTCAAGCCTGCCCGGTGTGAATATACACTCAGAGTAACATCACACAAGCATCTTATTCACCTGAGTACATTACACCAACACAGCAAATACTAACAATGAAGTGTCGTCATTACAATAAAATATAGTTGATATAACATGCAAGATTACAATCTCGTACCCAGAGGGGCCATGAAGTTACTGATTGATGGCTTTGCACATGGGTACAAGATTGTTAAGATTATTATCAAGATAATTAAGGCGTCGATAAATATAAAATGAATAAGATAAATATAAAATGTTATCGATCTTTGGAGTTACACTTGTTTTGTATTTTGTTAAAATACTCAGTGGTTCTAAAAATTAAGGCGTGTTAACACAATTAGACTAGAAGTGATAATGAGCTAAAATGTATAAGCTAGTGTTGGCTGACAAGAGGAAATTTAAAGTTAATAATATTTGCGGCGTAAAGATTAAATGTGTATTTCGATCCTAAAAGGTTTATGGAGAATAAAGTTAAATATAAAGTTTGATAGTGTTCCAAAGTATACTTTGCTATAGCATATTTGGCGAATTTGCGTGATATATACAATCACGTGAGTGACACTACAGAAGCCCCCTGCCAGTGCGGAAGTTAATAAAATTAACAATAAACGATCGATATGTAACGCTCTGGAAAATGAA